TGTAAAAACTTCAATTGAATTTCAATAAAGTTAAAGGCATGGCCTCACCATTAATATTTAAAAAAAAAAAAAAAGAAGTCTTGGGTTACTTTTTTGATGCATTTGGATTATTATTTATGTATTGATATCAAGAATACAATTATGCTATTTGCAGATCAATGTGTAAGTCTGTTCCTCTAAATTAGCCAATCGTATTATTTAAAAATCTCAATTATACGAATTTAATAAGGGTCTACGAATATGTTTGATTTATTATGTTGACCAAACACCCCAACACCCACCCCGGTCCACTCACCTTCCAACATTTTCCGATCGGGAGAGTAGTTACTTTCATGTAAATCGTTTTTTGCCAGTTTAAAGGACTTTTTTAAAAAAATAAAACTACGAAGAATAAACTAAAAAGAAGTATTTATAAAGTTTTATCAGGGTTATTTTATCAGGGTTATAGGACTCTACTAACAAAAATAAACAAGATCCTTTTTCGTTTTATTGTGATACCGGAATATCGTGACCGATCACGTGAAAAATGCACAAAACAAACATTGTTAAAGATATTAGATAAATCATTTAAAGATATAATAAATGTAAAGTCGCATATGTGAGCGACGAATTTAGTATTATAAATAAAGGCCGAAATGGCCCTTAGGAGCAATAGTGCTCCGTTCGCTTTATTAAATAACAAGTCCCAATATCATACCTTATCGATAATAATTACACAACACTATACCCAGTATAAACCCTGTAAACCCCTATGATCATCGTCGTTCGCTCAAGTTCTTGATCACGTGACTTACCCTACCGACTTCGTTGACCAAAACTAACCGACAGCTTTAATCACCCACCAGCCAAATCTAACATCCTCTTTCGTTACAAGAGATTTCGGATTGTGGAGCGACTGAGTCGCAGAATTCCGGACATAACACTATCCTTAAGAAGTCATTATTATGCTAACTTCTCTAAAAACAAAAAATCCTACAACCCTAATAAAATTTTCTATATATGCACTATCGATAATTAAATATAGGGACAATTTTCAGAAAGCTAAAAATTAATTTAAACAAAGGTTTTTAAAAAATAAAATTATTATTTATACTGTATTCATAAAATTAATTCTTATTAACACCCTAGGGAAATGATACGACATTTAATTTGAAAACATAAATAAAGCAAGTTTAACCAAATTCACAACCAATCTTGCAATATATAATAGTTCTTAAACATTATCTATTATTAAAACATTAGCCATAATATAACATAATATGGTCAATTAATAGTTTGTCTATTTTAATTAGTGCTGGTGCTATCAGAATCACCGGCCAAGACAGGTATTAATTGAAATTCTTTAGAAATTGTTTTTATTGGTAGATATCCATGAATATAATCATTTAAACTCCCAAGAACTTCAACTCCCATAATGGTTATGCCATTTAGGCTCACATGTCGCAAATTTTGTTTATAAGAAAATACACTCCCTCCACTGTCACCTCTACTAACTTTCGCGGTTGAAAAAATAATTTGAGATTTAAATTGATTTTTTAAATTCGTATAAATTCCGTTGAACCCTTTTATGAATCCACAAGTAACATGTGTAGTGTAGCCAGACTTACATATATGAGCACCATAACTGGATACAGCTTTGTCATCGTAAATAATCAGCTCATCATTTTCAGAATCTACATTCCTTATAGCCGTTACTAGTTTGAAGTTTTCAGTTCCTGCAAAAAAAATTAAACCAACGTCGAACGGTTGAAAACTGTTTTTCATCATAAACCCAATTAGAGGGTTGGATGTACTGATATTTTTATTCCATTGAATATGAAAAAAAAGGAATTAGCTCTTAAAGCGCAATGTCCTGCTGTTACAACGTAATTAGTTTTTAAATCTTTCGATTTTGCCCAATAACCTACTGAACATTGTTTATTTTCGTCTCGATTAATTATTCCATCTCCACCCAAGATTGGAGTGGTTATATCTCTTATCGTTAGATCATCTACATCAGTATCAGTATCAGGAGGCGAACCACTAGGTTGATCAAAAAACCTTTTAGTTACGTTATATGGTTCAATGGCCTCTAAAAACTCTCTATTTTGTTGATTATTAACCCTCCATAAATATAAAACAATATTATTAAGTTCCACATCAATAAAACATGCAATGGATAAGGGTCTTAAGCTTTTAGCTCGTTTTGATATTTGGTCAAACGAGTTTCTTAATGTAGTTAAGGAATTAGTTACATTTTTAAAAATAAATAAATGTTTACAAGATTCCATTCCAGATTTTATGATATCAACCTTAGTGTAGTCTACTGTATTAATAATTATACGATTCATTATTACATTTATGTAAGTTCCTCCAAAACTTGTGCTATGTACTTCTAATAATGGCTTTAGGATTTCGTCCACCATGGTTAAATTCGCCTCAATAGCCAATAGCACAGGTATTTGATCATTGCTTGTATTCCATAATTCTGCTAGTGGTTCTCTCTGTGCATAAATCACTAGATGATTCTGTAATGTAAAAATAATGAATAATGATAATAAATAAACTAAAAAATTAATTTTCATAATTGTAATAGTTTGTAATAGTTTGTAATAGTTAAGATAAGATGAATTTTCTTTATTGAAAAAGAACGGATGATGTTTATTAGACATTGAATAAGCTAAGTGTCTACAGTAAGTCCATTCCAATTAATTGATATATATATATTTTTTTACTCATTTGGATAGAGTAGGCGTGGTCTATACTATATTTACCCTTACTTTTTAAATAATTGTATGTTCCGGAGATTAATATATTTAAGGTAAAAATTTATATAACTTACCAATATCGACATTATTAATGTTACCAAAAAGTTAGCACGTACACTATACATGTCGTAGAAACTAATTCGGCGGCATTGATTTTTAATTAAATTTTTGAATTATTTCTGAAACAACTCAATGCCTACGAAATGATCAACCAATCAGTTCGTAGGACAGGTGTAACATGAAATCTCACCTTTCGCGTTCCAACAAAAAAAAACTTCCCGGTAAATGTCGTGTAGAGATACTCTGCTGACATTCTATCACAGCCTATCTTAATGCTAGCCCTTACCTAAATTAACTCGTTAGTAGGTTTGTTTTGATTTCACTTTGCACTTGATCTTGTAGGTATACAGGGTGCCTGCATTTTTTATGTTTTCGGCATGCTGCTTCAAAATGCCTAAATGCCGAAAATAATTTCGGTCTTCGACTAGTAAAGTATTAGTTTATCCTATAAACGTGTGCCTAAATTCGGTTCGATTTACAGCATTACGTCGCTACAGGTCTAACTCCTTTTGACATTCAAATTCTTATAATTAGTTGGACATCAAATACCTCATAACTCAATAGATCAAACAAATTATGCATACTTATGAAATTTAATATTTGACTAATCAAATGTTTGATAATCAAGTTTTTGTATGATTGTGTCATTGTTCCACCCGTAATTTTGACCAATCGAATTTCAATGCTACTTTTTTACAAAAAAAAAAACTGTTTCTTGTGTGAAATTTACAATAGAGCCAACTTTAACTCACATGATACAGTTTTGCTGGCTTAATTTTACACGCAACTTTTTGCTTCATGTTACACCCGATCTTAAATCTTGATTGATCAAAAATTACAAGGACGAACATTTTTTGTGGGAAATTCGATGATTAATATTTAACAATTGTTTGATGAGTAATTAAACAGCAGAGACCGTTAATGTTACACATATGTTAAAACTTGGTGAGGATCACAATTGAATCCAACATAAATAATTTAATTTGTGAATGATCACAGGCGAGAGGGATTCACTGGGATCGCGCACTGTCTTTGCTGTAGAGTAATTATTGTTCTTACGCTGTGCTCGGTGAAGTGACCGTCGGTGAAGAATGGACCCCGTGAATCAAAAAGGATGAAATTGCGCCGAAATTTATTTTAGGAACCTAAAATATTTTCGGCAATTTTTATTTACGACAAGCCCAAAATAATTTAAGCATCCATGTATACGCATACGACCCTTTTATGGACCCAATTAATTGATTGGTGGCGCAGCTACAGAGAGTCAATTTTTGCAGTTGTTTGCAAAATGTAACGGTAACGACTTGATACGTATGAGTATATTTGCTGAAATTTGACGTAGTCTAAATAAGTAATCAAACAATCGCTTTTTTGAATCTGTGCAAACCAGACAACCAGGGCAGCCCCACGAAGTTTTGCCGCAATACCTAATATTGTAATCCTCACCAAAAAATGACCTTTTAAGATTATATAAATTATAATCCCGAAGAGCTCGTTTTGTTAGTAAAAATCTCATTTATTATATGTCCTAAACTTTCACTTCAACTTGAAGCGAATTCAGATCACTAGATGTTGCAGCAGCAGCACACCCGAACTTCGGGGGACCGCCCTGGTGTCGTCTGCGAACCACAAGAATATTAGTTTACATTTTCTTTACAAAGACATGTATAGTATATAGCATTCTGAATCTTTTTTTTCTCCAATGAATGCCAAAGTTTCGAACAAATGCTGCATAGATGCCTTTTTTAGACCTTCAAATGACAGTATAAATTATATTCTTCTGAATCGTAACCAATAATCAAAAAGATGCTTTTTTTAGACTTTCAAATGACGGCAATCATTAGTGTAACTTATATCAGTACTTCCAGATTATAGCTGATAATCAAAAAGATGTTCTTTTTAATCCTCAAATAACAATAATCATCAATGTAATTCATGTTCTGAATCACATCATGTCTTTTTTAGACCTTTAAATAATAGTAAACATAGGTAATTTATATTCCAGATCATAGTTGATAATTAAAAGTAAAATGGATTTAATGAATTATTTATATACAGTTATAGTTAATAGCAATATGTTCCTGGATTTATCATGGTAATTATTTGCAATTAAATTAGATAATAATTACATAAAATTTATGTTGCAATTAGTGTTTGATACTCCTGTATATAAAGAGTACATATTACTGTATTAATCAAATTAAGTCACGCAAATTTAATATTTTGATTTTCATAACATGAAACTTTTGAACATACAGTCAACTAGAGATTGGAACCGTTGAGAAATCTTTACCCGGGTATTATTAAATTACCCAAGTAATTTATTATGTATTTCTGGTAATCATATAGCAACAATTTTTACTCGGGTCCAATCCCTACAGTCAACCTTCTCTATTCAACACGGTCCGTTCTTATATGTAAAATATCAAAAAGTTCAGTTTTCGAAGAGTTACTATGTTGCTAATCCGAACTTTTTAATAAAATTTACAAATTTTCTGAAGCCTTGTGTTCGGTTTTTACAGAGTTTATTAAGGGTTTGGATTATCCCGGTTCGGATTTGTACCTGGTCAGTTAGCTTTTTTTTTTTTTAAATTCGAAAAAATTTATTCAATTATTAAAATGATGTATATAAAAAAATTGTGTTATAAATATCAAAATTTAATTCAGATAGGTTATGAAAAACAATTAATTAATTTTGTATAGTCTATGTATAATTATTATTACTTATATATATAGTAGTTCTCAAAAAGAATATATTATCTAAATATAAAACTTAAAATATTAAAATCTTATAATCTAAACATTAATATATTATATAATTTATAATTTAAATTTATTATATTTTAAAGTTTGAATGTTGTTTATTTTTTGGTATTAAGGTAAGGTTTTGCTTATACCTTTATTAGTAATTTATTTATTTATTTATTTAAATATTAATAGTAAAGTTATGTCTTTAACTTTATTAAAATTCAAATAAAATTTTTATAAAAAAAAGCTTGCTTTTAAATTACATATGAAAAATAAAAACTCAAATATATAATTTGTGATTCAAACTTATAAGAGTGATCAAGACTTATCTAGATTTGAATATAAATAAAAATATAAAAGAAAAGAATGTAATCTTTAGTCTATTGAATAGTTCAAAGGTCTATTTTAGTAATAATTTTAGATATTAAAAAGAAAGTAAAATAAAACTAGAAGAAAAGTTATTTGATAAGTTAGTAAAAATTAAAGTTTGAAATTGTTTAAAATAAGAAATGCAATAAGAAATCCAGATATATTTATTTATTAGTTTAAATAAAAAAGAAGTAACAGTATAATAAAAAATATAAATATTGTAAATAGTAAAAATAAGATCAATTGGAACTAGGTCAAATATAATAGAAATTAAGAAGAGTTTGTATAAAAAATTATATAAATTAAAACTGTTAAATATAAAAATTTCTTTATACAAATCAGAAATATAATTAGCAAAAATATCAAAAAAGTTTGTATTTAAAATAATATTAAAAAAGTTAGAAAAAAAGTAATAAATAATTTAAAAAAAAAACAGATAGTCTTGTATAGAGAAGTACTAGACAGGTTGTATTTATAACAAAGAGAAGAGTAAAAAGAATTATGTTTATAAAAAGTATGAAAAATTAACAGTTTATTAAATAAAAATTTTATTCAAAAGGTTTTGAGAATAGAAAAATGAAACTTATGAATAAAGTTAGTAAAATTTTAATTATTGTTAATATAAAGCTATAAGGTTTCTAGTTAATGTCAGATACAATAGTGGTCTATAATTGAAATCTGTTTTGAAATGTTTAAAGTATTAGCATATAGCACAGGTCATATGAAAACATATCGGCAGTAGCATAACCAGAATAATATTAAATAAATATTGGCAAACCGATAGAAAATATAAATTTTAAGTTCAATTATGGGAATATCAGATCACTGAAATTAAAATAAAATTGAATCTAAAACTATAGATATTTTAGAAAACTAAAGGTATAATATCAGAAATACTGATATAACTTTTAATAAAATGATAATATTATTAAAAAAATATGAAGACATATCAGTAGTAGCATAATCAAATAATATCATAGAAATATCAGTTATCAGATAGAAAATGTAAATTTTAAGTAAAATTGTGAAAATATCAGAAGCTAATATTAATATGAATATGATCCTAAAAATATCGATATTTTAAATACAACTTGTTAGCAACTAAAATAATTTCAGATAAACTGATATAGCTATATAGTTTTCTATAATACTATAGTATTAAAATGATATTGTTTGCATATTTTCATTTTAAAAATACTACTGATATAGCTATAAG